TCATATAGTCGGTCGATTTCATACGTTTTTGCATATATTTCAGGAGCATATTGAAACTAATTGATGATAAATATTAAATCAAAAGCAGTTTACATGGAAAACCTAATCTTTCTAGCGATTCTTCATATAGAGCTGTTTCTAAGTATAGTACAAAGATGCTGATAAGATTTTGCTTATAATAAGTGCCAAGTTTGGACAAGATATCTTGTACTATCAAAAGTGTATTATTACAAGAACCTAACGAACCAAAAATTCCTATGGCAGCTATACGATCCAATCGGCCTAGTCTGTCACATGTGCCGACCATAGATACACTTTATGGAGTAGGACATGCCTGCTTCTATCCGTTACACACTTCCTAAAAGTATGATAGTACCCCCTACAAGGGTATCGTAATTTAGGCATTTCACCTGGCATATTTTATTTGCATTGCTTTGGTGTTAAATTGCAGAGATTTTTAAATATACATTACACAAAAAATACAAAATTCACATTTAAATAACAACTTGCGAATAATCACGCAAAACTGCTGCAAGAAATAAAAAAAAAAAAAAACAGGAAATAAAAAATGCCGAAAGCGGCAACGAAATTCAATTAACGTACAAATCAACTTTGGGCATGCGTTTTAGCCAGAGTTTTCGTATGCAGTTTAATTGTATTTAAGAGTGCCCGTATTTAGAGTGGCGCTTTTAAATGTGACCAGAGTTCACAATGTTCGCTTTGCAATGTGGCTGTAGTTGTATGCATAGATCCGTGTTTTGTGAGCCGTTACTTAAGTGTGGCTGTTTTATTCGATCGCAAATCTTTTGGTTGTATTTAAATATGGCCAAATTTTCGCAAGTAGTCAGATTGTTTTTAGGTTTAACAGTGGCTTTTAAATGTTCGTATTGTTCGTATTTAGTGAGCCGTTACTTAAATGTGACCGTTTTACAGTTCGATCATATTATTATGGCTGTATTTAAATGTACTCGAATGCGGTGTGATTATTATGCCATTACATACAGTCTGAGATTTCTGCCAAAGTTTCCTTTAACTAATCAGAATTCCTCCTCTAGGAAATAGGATTTATTCAATATTTGATGGAATGAGGTGTTTAGATACACATTTTTAGACATTTTAGCTCATAAGTTTGATATTAACTTGATAGTTTTTAAAATGTATTACTTTTAATCTGATAGTTATTAAATTTTATTATTTTGTAGCTGATAGCTTGTCTAATTCCTGGACATTTGGCAGCCATAACTCTGCGACAACTAAATTGTCCTTTTCTAGATATATCTTGCATTCAATCTGTTTTGCTTTTGAATCCCTTTCATAACCTTGCCGCAGCTAAATCTATTTGCAAGCGAAAAGCCTTTTATTGCATAGATTGATGGGCACCTAAAGATCCTCCTTTGTTAACAATGTTTAATTTTTGTTTAGCTTGTCAACTTTCACCTACTTCAGGTAGGTATTTCGGGAGCGTTGTTCGCATTGCCTGTTTAGCCTGTTGCCACACCGCTAAAATGAGTTTACGTAAAACTCAAGTATGCAAGCAAACAATTAGCATAATCAGCTGCCGTAATGGACGGCAAATTGTACCAATTTTTATAATTTTTCCTATTCAAATGCGGCAGTGGCAGCGTCTGTGGCTGGTGCTGTTGCTTTGGCTGCATCTCGGCTTTTTAGTCGAAAACATTATTAAAACATACATACAAAATATGCAACATTTGCAACAAGAGGCGACACCAACTTCCGCGCACGCGAAATTAGTTGCACATCCAGATTTCTATCTGGCAGATGCAACTGCATTTCCAATTGGCATCTGGATGCGGCCTTTTTGGCCTCTCTTAGCATGCCAACACGGTGCGCTGCACGAAAGCAATAAAAATTGAAAGTTTTATTCCCAAAGTGGATCGATTGTCCATTGTTGTCACGTTGGGCTAGCTTGGGCAGTGCACGGGCAGACAGCCAAGAAATCGGGCGCTGCCCTGCCCAGCCCTGCCTTGCCCAGCCGGTGGTCCGCTCGATTTTCTCGCATGCAATAATTGCCAACGGAAAGAAGCTAAAACAACTTTTAACTGAACGTTGGGTCTCATCGTGCTGTATTATCAGCACTAAACATACTAATTATAAGCACTTCCTTGCAGCCTGGCGACACTACAGACCCCAACAGCAAAATGGAAAAGAAAAGAAATTAAAAAAGTAGAAAAACTAATGTAAAGAAACAATAATAAGCCTGTGGAGCCCATAAAATGTATAATGATCTAAATGCTGCCATAACAATGGACCCATAAAACACCGCAGTACCAACAACAATTCACTCACTCGCTCGTCAGCAGCAACAAATTAATAACTTAAGCGTCAGGCCGAAACACGTAACATTTTCCAACATTGTCCAAGCGTTGCAAACGCCGTTGTTGCACAGTGGTTCAAAATGCAGGCAAATGTGCTGAAATGATAGCGTTGCCAACCACTCGAATGTGTGCCTAACCACTTTATAAACTACATTTTAAAAGCATTTAAAGCTTTTACAAAAACAACCTAAAGCTTGATTAAACATAGCAAATAAAATTAATCTTACATTTGAGCTTTGCATTGCTTAAAAAGCTTTGCAAGTTAATTAAAGCTGCAATAGTGTAATTCTCGTTAACTAACGAAAATTTCATTTTGGTAAGAGTTCAGCTTTCAAAGCTCATGAAAGCATTAAAAAACAATGAATGCTTAGTAATATGTGAAAAGTTCACAAGTTGATAATTAAATCCTTACGTTACACGTTTTACAGTATCGTAGCCCTTAAAAGCTTGTTGAAAGCTCATTAAAGCTTCTTGTGGTATTGGGTGTCCGAAATTGCATTTTTTGCATATCTTATTGAATTCTACAAAAGAAAAGCAAACTAGCTTAAATGGATTTATCCACTGTGCACCGTAGCCAACATCGTCGCCGGCCGTTGCCGTCGATGCAGCTCTTGTTGTTATTGCTGTGGCTTTTGGCCATATAACGCGCATGCATCGCATTCACGTATTCGCATTGGCAAGGTTGTTGATCTTCACATGTGGCATGTGCCCAGTTCCAGTCCCGTTTCAGTTGCCGACATGCGAATTTTGTTATTGTTTTGCCTGGATTGGATTATATTGTTTAAGTTTCTACCAATTGCCCATTATCGCCGTTAAGTGGGGCAAATGCGTTTGCCAGAATATAAATATAAATATAAATCATAACAAACTGTCGGCTGGCTATAATCTAAAATGCACAATGAACCCCATTGCAGGCAAAGCAAAATTAATTAGCCAGCTGATTTATATTGGCCACAATCGAAATTGAAATCTTATTTACAATGCCATTTCACAGATGCATCGCAATTTTGTTTTGTTGGTAAGAAGAGCAGCTGCTGTTGCGGCTGTCCAAGCAGTCTGATAAAAATCCTCATAAATTTTGTGCAACTCTTTTCTCTCCGTTAATTACAATGCACTTAATCAGTGACCATGAAGTAACCGAAACCTTAAAGCGCATAGACGAAACAATAATAAAACACAAAGAAAATATACTTTTTGCCCAGCCACTCGTTGTGCTGTGGCTGTTGTGGTTGAGATGTGCTGCTGAGAGATGATCGCGCCCGAGTCCATTGCAACTGCGAAAGTCTTTAGAGCCAAGCTAAGCTGAGAGCCATGCGCAGTACAGAGTTTTTAAAACAACATCTTGATTTATTTAGAATAACCAGAAGATTAATAGATATCTTTAGTTAAATTAATGAGTTTAATTAGACGTATATTAACTACGCGTCTGGTCTGGGCTGCAAGTCCAAATAAAATTGTCAGAGGTTTGGTTTACGGTTTGAACCAAATTCGTGCTTTAATTCCGGATATCTTAAAATCAGATTTAAGTTCAATGCATGGATAATAATGTAATTTTGAAAATTGTATTGCTTTTTTAAAAGATTATGAGTATAACAAATTCATAATCTTATAAAAAGGCTAATATCATAAATATAGTTAGATAAATCCAATACGCTTTGTGACTGAGTCTTCCTCAAAAGTTTTTTATTTTGAACTTGCCAATTGTTGAAAGGAAATATAGTTTTGGTTTCGTCTGTCCTGGCGAAATTGGTTGGACTTAAATTTGGTGCATGGTAAACAAATGTAGTCAAATGCGGGTTCGACACAGTTTGGTTCGAATCCAAATCCATTTTAGACCAACATTCGATGGCGGAACTTGTTCATAAGAACAAAACAATTGAAGCCATATTAAAATTTGGGCCTGCAATGTGCCCACCTTTAAGCTTTACATACTGTACGGGTGAAACAAAACATATTTCAATCAAATAGCGCATTTTGGGCAAATTTCAAATTATACAACCACGTTTAAAACAAAAGTAATTATTATTATTGAACGCTTGAGTGTGTCACCTTTCAAGACGCCGCCTACCCTGTTCAATCCCTCTCTCTCTCTCTCTTGCTCGCTGTGCCGCTCGCCTGTGGGGCGCTAACAATGACAGGCGTAATCATTTCATTGAACTGCATTTTCACTGTCGTGTTGCAGCTTATGGCTTAATTGGCCAAAACGAAATCGAAATTGCAGGCTGGAACCAGTTCAGCATTTGACATTTGATTTGTGTTCGGCAGCTGCGCTGGCCACAAGTTCGTGTGCGCGTCCCACCTGGCGTATGCGTTACGGCTCATTATGATAGCCGAACATATCACGCATACGCAGTGCGTTAAGTAGCCGTTACAATTTGAATGTGCATCGGATGATGGCGTTGAAGTTGCCGCTGCTTTTGCCTTGAAAGCGAATGTCTCCGTATCTGCACATCTCCCCCCCCCTCCTTTCTCTCTCTCTCTCTCTCACTCTCTCTCCCCCTGTCTTTCCCTCGGGCGTGCAATCTTTCTCTTTCGCATGTGTTTGCTGTGTGTGCAATTCGCTAGTTTTCTTTGGCTCGCACATTCGCATAAATTTTCCGCTGCACCGGCAACGTCATTATAAAAGCCCCGCCATGCCAGCTCGCCGCAAACAATTCAAATCCAGTAACAGACGCGAAATGATCTTCGCAATGGCAACGCGTTGTCGGTCCACCAAGAGCCTGCACCTGCGCCTGAATCGGTGGCTCTGCCTTGCCGCGCTAATGCTAATTGTAAGTAGTGCAATTGCTGGCTCCCAGCTCCCAAGTGCCAGCTGAGCCTGTCAACCAAGGATTTGTCAATTTTTACATCATTATTTTTTTTATTGTGTGTGCGCGCCTCAAGTTTCAAATGAAAAGTGCTTCTCGTATCATGAAAATACCCCTGTGAAATACGATATAAAAAATTAAACGAAGTTGCCGATGGATCTGACATTTACTTTAAACAGATTGTAAAACACGTTGCGGAAAACTACGACTCTTTTAGGCTAAATCATAACTTTAGCAGATTTCAAAGACACCGTATTTTAGAGTCCCTGCCAGAGCTATAGAGAATATTTTAAATTTGAACAAAAACATTTAGATACATTTAACTCAAACTAATACTAGGCGTCTAATGGAGGAGTATATAGATTAGTTGGGAAAACATTTAAGAAAAATTGTTTAACATTTTGAGATTTTCCTTTGGGCTTACGCATTAGAATATTTGAAATTTGATGCAAATGTTCAATTTAAGTAAGACCCAACAGAATTTTGTGTATAGTAAGACTTTAATTAGATTGCGACGATATTTTTGTAGATATCTCTGTATCGGAATCGTAAGAGATCCCGATAGTCTGCATAAGAAACCGTCACAAACTAATTTTTAGTAAATACTTGTCTATACTTTAGCAATGTATATGGGTAGTGATTATTTATATATAAAACATAGGAGCATATTTTTTGTTTGATACTTTGTTTAAGCTTAAACCTATTTCAAAAAAGTTTTAGTCATTTGCGAAGTTTTCAAGGCTGGAATAATTTTTTTTATGTAATTTACTTATTGACACCAAAGTTCTTAAGATCTTAATTCGTCAAAATATTTGAGGTTTCTAAAAAATGTCTAAGTTTGAAATATTTGGTTATGTATGGGGCTGACTTAGTCCCCACATGATCATTTAACGGTGGAGATTCTATATGAAATGACGACCTTACTTTTTTCAAAAAGCAAATCAAGCGAAAGCCCCAATTAGACCCAGGATCGATTAACGTATAGTAACTCAATGTTCACTGAAGCCGTCTGGCTTGCATTTAACATCCACTTTGAGATGGCATTAATCGCCGCCAGGCACTAAGCAGTCGGCAATTGGAAATTGGCTTCAATCACAACAAAGTTGCGTGCCGAAAACATTTCATGTTGGGGCGTTAAGAGGCCCCTCTCCAAACGCCAAACTCGAGTGCTCAATCGCTACCGCTAACAACATCCATATGCACGGGCCAATGAACTTGCAGCGGACGCAGCTCAAGCGCCACGTCGATCAGCGCCGTGGAGACGGTTGGCGGAGGCAGCGCCATCAACTGGCAAATGGCCCGTTCCCGATGCGAAAAAAACGAAAAAAAAACATTTGCCTCCCCCTCCACCGTCGAAAGCGAAAGCGAATTGGTTAACTTTAATTAGTTTAATTATGAAATATATATATATTTATATGTGCGTCCAACTATCTGTAAACAAAAGCAAATGGCCAACTAAATGTGCGCTTTGCATTCACATGGCCGCCAATCGGCTTCAAACGACATCGAGCGGCAAAACAATTACCATTTAATTGCTCCACTTTGCTGCTCTCTTTCTCTCTTTCTCTTTCCCTCTCTCACTCCCTCTATCTCTTACTCTGCCTGCCTTTCTCCCTCTCTTACTAACTGTACACACCCACTTCCATTTACAGTTCATCATGCAGCTGTCCCGTTGTGAAGCACAGTCGCAGCCCCGCATGAGCCGTCGACCGGCTGGAAAGACCAATGTGGAGGAGACCAGCGAGAGAGGATCCGTGCCGGATCAGCTGGCGCTGGCCGCAAGTCGCTCTGATGGACATGGGCGCAACTATCCGCGACGGGGCGGTGCATTACAGGCAAGGACCAAGGAGGCGACTCCAGGTGAGCTTTAAACTGAATCTTTTAATTGAAAGCTTCGAATGTTACCGGAGCTTGTGGCCGAAAGTAAGCTTTACAATTAAGTAGAAACTTTTAACTGAAACTTTCAGTGAGCTTCATGATTAAATGCATATCAGTAAACTAAATTTAAATTAAAACTTCAAACAAGTACTTTTGAGCTTGTAGCTGAAAGTATTGGATGATGCTTTTAACTGAAACGTTTGAATAAAAGCTTTGAATATTACAAGTACAGTTTAAATGGCGAGCTTTGCGATTAAGTACCAGTAAAATGTTTTAACTGAAACTTTCGAATAATACTGGAACAACTTCTAAGCTCAGCCATAGGCGGGAGCTTTTGCATAGTAACACAACAGCGATACAAAAGTAAATTGAAAGCTCATTAAAGCTTAAACGAAGTGGTGCACAATAAAATCGAATGGGATTAGACAAATTTTAACAGACTTAAAAGTAATATACGTCCACAATAGTTGCACTTATCATAGGCATTTAGCGAAAAGTCACTGTACTCATGCTCCGCTAAAAAGCTGCCTAGAAGTTGGGATTCTGAGTTCAAACAACTGCCATATTTATTAGCTAATAAACTGCTTTCCAAATTAATTGCGATTGTTGGCGATAAAATAACAGCCTGTGCCAAAAGAGTCTTTGTTCCAAATGAGCTTTAGCGAAAATGCAAGCTCGCCGAAGCTTAAGCAATGTTCAAAAATTGGGAGCAGCTCATCAGCTTGCAGGGCAAGTCGACATTAACAGACGCCTTTAGCGCGTATTCACTGTACTCGTGGAAAGCTGGAAGGCTGCTTATCAGCTGTGTGTTTAGCTAATGAAGTTTTGGAATTCAGTGAAATTCTGAATGCTTCATAAATGAACAACTGCCACAAATATAGCCTAATGCCAATTACTAATCTCTAACCCTCTCTCTCGCTCTCTATTTTCTTTTCTTTTTTTTATTTGCACCCTTAGACTATAGCTACGGGCAGCTGGAGCTGAATCTAATAAGGCCCGAGCACGAGACGTCTTCATTGTCGCCGCACGGCAAGATCAGTGCTTACTACGGCGGCGGCATGAGCACAACAGCCGAATCCGTTGGAGCTGCTGTTGGTGATCTGAGTCACGAGAAGACTGTCATACTGGAGGACTCGGAGACAGCGGAAGAGTACGTGTCCAACGCTATGAAAATGGCCTATAGCACACGGCACAAGGAGTCACAGGCGCCGCTGCGCATTGTGGCCAACACACAGCGGCCCTTCATTCCCAACTCCAGTTCCAGCTCCAGTTCCGAGCAGCAGGCACATGCGCAAGTCCAGCAACAGCAGCAGCATCATCATCATCAGCAGCAGCAGCAGCAGCAGCAGCAGCTGGAGCTGGAGCAGGCTAAGCATGCCAAGGCGCAGGCGCAGGCACAGGCAGCGCTGCTGGAGGCACAAATGCAGGCAGAGTTGCAGGCCCAGCTTGTGCAGCAGCAGGCGCTGCTCCTGGCCGAGCAGCAGCGACAGCAGCAGCAACAAGAACAAAAGCAACATCAGCAGCATCAGCAGCAACAGCAGCAGCAGCATCAGCATCAGCAGCAGCAGCATCAGCAGCAGCAGCATCAGCAGCAGCAGCATCAGCAGCAGCATCAGCAGCAGCAGCAGCACTCAGTTGAGTCCACATCCAGTGAATCGTCCCTGCCCGCTCCAGCGCCCGTCTATGAGAAGGAGTCGGTGCCGCGCAGCTATGAGCTGTATGACACGCCCGCCCAGACCGAGCCCGTTGGCGGCGACATTGAACGTCTCTATCGCACGAAATACTATAGCTATCCGGCATCGCAGTCGCAGCCACAATTGTATCGCAACATCGAGGACGAGGCGGAGGAGAAGGTGCGCGTCTCTGCATCGACGGAAATACCCAAGGCAGAAATAATGAAACAAATCGAAAAGTCTGTCATCAAGTATATGAAGGAGCTGGAAGCCGAGGGCAAGATAATTACCACCCCACAGGAGCTGGCGCCACCAGCCACCAAAACCTACTACAAGCTGCTGTCGCTGCCCAGTTCCGGCGGTGCCGGTGGCTCAGTTTCTAGCGAGGAGAAACGCTATAGCAGCAGCACGGTGCGTCCCAAATACAGCAGTCCGCCGGCAGCTGGCCAGGGGCGTCAGCCCGGCCCGTCCATTCAGCAGCATGGCCAATACCATGGACAGCATCATCAGCTGAGCAAGCAGAATTCGCATGCGCTGACCAAGCCGCAACGATACCAATCCGAAACGGAAACCGCATACCAGGCACCGGACATTTCCGCAGACGCACTGGCACCCAATGTGGAGTTCATCTATAAGATTAAGACGCGTGCGCCGCTCCAAACGGCCACTGTGAAGACCGTATCGAAGCCATATACCTTGCCGCTGAAGACGAGCGCCGAGCACTTTGATCATGGCGCTGCCCTGAAGAACATCGAGGAGTTCGACTTGTCCCATGTGGTAACGACGGCGGAGCGCGAACAGGAGGAGCAGCGGGTGACGAGCAAGCCGCAAAAGCTGTATTTCAACTCAGATATCTATCATGACATTAACTCATTGCCCTACAAGGCGGAGAAGCTGCGCGGCGCCAGCGGCAGTGCCAGCAACATCCATTCGGTGCAGGGTCAGGAGTACAGGCACAAGCTAAAGGCAGCCGCCGATCTGCATCCGGACTATAAAGGCTATTCCGGCTATTTTGCGGAGCCGGCGTCTAGCAGCATGGAGCTGGCCGAGAAGCAGCAGCCGAGCGGCATTGGCAATGATGGCAGTGAGGAGGGCTATCCGCTGCCTTATCAATATGTCCTGAAGAAGGAGCCGCTATCCGCTAAGTACGAGGAGGAGCGTGAAAGCTGGGAGCAGTCGATGCGCCTGGCACATGCCAAGCCCGCTGGCGGTGGCTACAAGACTGCTGCATCCACCAGCCTGGAATACGACAGCTACAGTCCCAAGTTTAACAACAATCCCGAAGGCTATGGCTATCAGCACACCTACAAGACGCAGCTGCTCCGAGGCGCTGGCGGCGGCGGCGGTGGCGGCGGCAACGGTCCCAACTCTGGCAACAGCGCCGGTGGCAAGCGCGGCAAGCGAGGCGGTGCTCCGCATCCTGCCGCTGGTGGTGCGCCCGGCAAGAAGCTGTTGCGCAGCAACGTCGGTCCTTCAGGCCTCGGTGGCGCAGCTGGCGTTGGCGGCAAGCTGGCCAAGGATCTGGAGGCCAACCTGGCACTGCGACCACCGCCCAAGAAATAGTCTGTTATATAGCTTATTATATGAAAAATTTTGTTAATACCAGAATCTTATGTTGTTTTTTTTTTGATTTTTTTTTTTGTTAGTTACTATAGTTTGCTATTACTAATTATTTATTTTTTATAGCCAGTTGCTATTCGCGACCGGGGGGTGGAGAGCGCCAGTTGCAACAACAGTTGTTACTCAACGAGCCGGCAAAGTAGTAAACGGAAAAAAGAATTATACGCGCTAGAAAAGAAATCAATTTGTGGTACATAATAAAAACAAAAATATTTAAAAAACAACCAAGGATAAAGCTCGAAGTAAACTAGTAATAAATGTTCTAAACGTGCACAAATTTGTAAAAGCTCTTCACTGTGGATCGCTATAAATTGTTGTTTGTACTGAAAAGGCAATTTTGTTGACTAGCTTAAAGCTCTTCACTTCAGATTATGCTATCAAAGCTCTCAAAGCGCTCAAAAGATATTACTTAAAGCTCTAAGCGGTTAGCTTTGTTGACTAACTATACTCAAAGCTTTTCGTTGCGGGTTTCTTCAAATTATTCTTTGTTTTCACAAGCTCAAGAAGCTTTCAAGTTTTAATTTAACTAGCTTACACACTTACACACAACTTGGTTGACTTACTGTAACTAAAACGCTTCGCTGCATATACTAAAAAGCTTTTCTTTGTGGTTAAAAGCTTAAAAAATTCACATGAGCTGTCAAGTGGAAATTCAATTAGCGTCCACACTAAAAGCTGTAGAAAGGCATTTTTCTTGATTCATATTACTTAAAGCTCTACAAATTGTTGTTTGTGCTCTAAAGCAAGCATAAGCTTTCATGTGGAAACTCGATCAGCGTACACACTTAAAGCTCTAAACAAATTGGTTGACTAACTGTACCTGCAGCTCTGACCAGCAGCTGTTTAAGGGCAGTAGCTTAAGCTTAAAAGCTCTTAAAGCGAACCTGAGTTGTCAAGTTGAAATTCGACTAGCGTGTACACTTAAAGCTCTAGAAAGGCAACTTTGTTGGCTAACTGTACCCTTAAAGCTTGTACAGCTAATATGCTCAAAAAATTACAGCTTAACTTAAGCTCTGGTAAGGTTATTCAGCTAGGGTATGAAAGTGGATGACATTGCCCACAGCTATCGCAGTTCCAAAAAAAAAAAAACTTGAGCAATGCAAAAATATCGGAATACATATGTATATCGTTTAGGTCATTAAGTCGTTAAAAACTTACCAAAAAAAAACCCCAACTTACAAATCTCTAGAAATAGTGCAAAACTCTCTTACTCAGGTTTTGGAACCCAACCGATTTTGGCATATGAGAATCTTAGCAATCAATTTTGTTCAATATGCTTATAAATTTAAATAATTCATGATTAGCTCCTCTTCATTTTTATTTATGCTATCATTATCTCATAATACTCTGCTGTCAAAAATAATACTCGCTTGTTTTTTTTTTAATAATACTCTGGGCAAAATTTTATTTCACAAAAAAAAACAAAGCCTTAAACTTAGGTACATATTTAAGAAACAGACTCTCATCTGATATGAGAAAATATTAAAAATTATTTGGCAAAATGGGTTAGGGAGAATTGGGTCTAAAAGGGCCCCAGCTACGCCTATTCGTGGTGCGCATAATGCTCGTAGTGCTCGGAATGATGCACTGGCTCCTCGTAGTGTCCATGCTCGTGCAAATGCGACTCGCTGTGGTTCTCCAGCACAAGTCCATGATTGTGATTGTGTTCAGTTTTGGGGTGCAATATCTTCAACTTCTGCTTGGTGCCGCCAATCTCGATGGGCTTCTTGACCAGATGCTGATCCTCGTGCTTAATGTAGACGGGCACGGCATGATAGTGATGGAATTTAACGCTCTGATGCGATGTGGCGTGCTTGTGATCCACCTCATGATGCACCTCGGTCTCCTCATGTTCCGGCTCGTACTTGGCGTGCTCCTCATGCTCGTACTCGTGAATTTTCAACGCGCTGCTCAGTGCCAACAGCGCCAGACACGGAAGCTAAGTCAACAGAAAAAAAAAACACACAGACACAAAACAAAAATATATTAACATAATAGAAATTGAGCACAAGGATTAGTTGAATGCAGGATTTGTTTGAAATTTAAATTTTTCAATTCTTAGTTAATTTATTTCTTCAAACTTTGCTTGGCCGGCATTTAAGTTTTCTTTTTTTTTTGTACTAAAATGTATTTTGCTTACAAAAAATTTCAGCATTTTGTTTAGTTTTCGGCTTAACACAAACACGCACAAAAAATAACTCAAAGAAAAAAAAATGTATTTGAATAACTTTTCAAAAGAAAAAGAAATGTTTGTTTAGGAGTTTTGGCTGGCTGTGGACTCCTTGACGTTGCTGGACTGAATGTGGCTTGGCGTTTGGGACCAGATTCGATTTATACCCGAAAAAATGATGTGTGCGAGCCGATGCGAACAGGCTACGAGCAAGTGAAATGTGCAACACAAGCAACACAAGCAACAACATCAACAACAACAACAACAACAATTGAGTAGCTGCGGCAACGAACTTCAAAATGGGCAACAACAACAATCGAAATCGAAGTCATAGTCGAAGTCGAAGTCGTTAGCGGCATATAAGAGAAGTTGTCGCTAGCTTTGTTTGTTGTTATTGTTGCACACACACACACACACACACACACTCGCACGCACACTCATACACTCTCTTGCTGCGTGTGAAACTCGTACAATTAAAAATTATTACGTATACGCCCGCCTGGCCGTCACTTGAGGCAGGCGCTTTTCCATTGAAAACCCGTTGCCAATTGTTGCTGTTGTTGCTGTTGTTGTTGCTGCTGTTGTTGTTGTTTTGTGTGGCAGCCACCACACGCGGGTTAACCACCGCCGCCACCACTAACCGGTCGAGCGGTGCACAAATATGTAATGCAAGTGCAAGGTAATTGCACAAAAAATAAACATATTAAAAAAAATACACACTCATATATAACGGTCAGGCAAAAGAAAACAATCAAAGAAACACATATCAAATTACGTTAATAAATAACATTCAGTTTGATTAGTTGAAAAGCGCAGGAATTACGCCAATTAGCCATTTGGTGACATTTTTTCATTTTATGAAAATTTAAATCTCTTTAGGGGGTTTTCCCCCATTTGGGAAACGAGTGCGTGCAAGCTGACCGATAGATAATCTTCCTGTTTTGCATGAGCTAATTAAAAATGTGTTTTTTTTTTAATAATTATCAGCTACGCTGCGATAACAATTGTGTCGCAAGACTCGTTGCTACGCTTCCTCGTTCCAAGCCGCGCCCCAAAAAATAAATATAACAACAACAACAAATATGTAAATGTAAGATTTATGAATGCTTTAGAAATTGCTGGCACGAATGATGGATCGACAGCCCTAATTATGAGGTGAGGGCTTTGCCAACGCTCGATGTTCGCATAGGTAAAACAAAGAGCTTGCAGCATGCTGCAATTTACGGTGTAGCGCAAGGGTTTGGCAGTGAAAGGTTCGAAAACGTTTAACGATTATAAATGCTCATAAATGTATAGATGTTTGCGTAAATACTTTCCCAATCTTCTCGTGCCGCCAGCTAATTGACTTATAATCGAACTATCAAGCGTTTAAATCGGTTTCCTAGTGCTCCAATTAGCATTTAAATGCACATAAATAAAAGTGTTAGCAATTAAAATGCAGTGCGATTAGATAATCATGCAGTGAATGTCTGTATTTGGCTCAGGAAGCTTTAAGTTGCAAAAATTTCCCAAAAATAAAAATGTAGATTCGAGCCGAAGCTTAAAGCCGCTGCAAACAGTTTAAACTGTCTGCCAAATGTTGTTGTTGCTGCTGCTGCTGCTGCTGCTTTTTACTGTTAGAGTACCGTTGTGTGCGCAATCGATTGAATTTCTTTGGGTTAGTATGCTTCCATCGGCAGCGCGAGTGCAGTCCAAAAGTAAAAGTAAACTACTTTTCTGCACGGTGACGACGAAATTTGCATAACAAGCCGTTGCCGCTGTGAAAAACGCGCCTGCCACAACAACCATTTTAATTAATTCATTTAATAAGCGCTAAGACGTTTACATAATATCAATCCTCTTCCCATATCGCAGGAAGTCGACAAACACCGTTAAACTTACAAATTTAAATTCATAGCCGTCACGTAGCCGGTAGCCAGAGCTGCCACCTGTTGTTAGCGCAAGCGATTGTCCGATTACAATTGCCGACTCCTCAAACAGCTGAGATGGAAGAAGAAGCACATCAGTCATTGCGTGGATCAGGCTTAAAAGCCAAAAGTTACTCATAGTAATTTTTTCTTTTTACTTATCTAAGAATCACTTACTGATGTATTCTATCGAAAATTTCGTGCTATATTGCAAATCGGGAAATACTCCACGCGGAACTGATTCACATAACTCCAATCAGAAGGAGAGAAACAGAAACAAAATCTGACTCCTCTGGACGAGTCGGTTGGCATAATGCTTACCTGTTCGCTGGCAGCTACTGATGAGGAGCAATTAATGCTTAAAAGAAGGAAACTCTACCTAGCTTTGAATAAAATACAAGAATAGAAATCTATTGGACCCTTTATTTTTATGATTTTGTAACAACGATATCAAAAAAGTTCAAACATTCCGGGTTTTATAGAAGATAAATCGAAAAAAAGTGAATCGATTCGATAAAAATGATGCTTGTTCTATCGATATTGCGCGCGACGCATGAAATGTAACTGTTTACCTGTCGTCTTGCAAAGCCTGTGCCATGGATCTGGGTGATGCCAATCTTCGCACTGTTCGCATACTGGGCCAAGGCACCTTTGGACGTGTCTTCTTGTGCCTGCAGCGCGAGGGTCGCAATGACCGAAAAGTTTGCGTGAAGCGCATTATTATGCGCAATCCGAAGAGTGAGCTGGCCCTAATCAAGGAGGAGGTAATGCAGCACCTGAATATGCTTATCGATGGGCCAACTAACTGCGCTTCTTAGATCTACATCATCTCACAGCTGCGGCATCCGCATATCGTGCAATTCATACGCTACTTCATGCACTCCGGCACGGTTAACATTGTGATGGAGTATGCGTCAAACGGCACCATGCGCGATGTCATCCAACGGACTAGCCAAAATGCAAATGGGTTGCTGGACAAAGCGCGGCTGCTGCGTTTCTTTAGTGACATGATCCTGGGCCTGGAATATCTGCACATACGCCACGTAATACATCGCGACATCAAGCCGGAGAACATGCTGCTCGATGCGAACGATCGCGTCAAGTACGCCGACTTTGGCATATCCAATGTACATGCGCCGGACAAGCAGCAGCCGTGGCAGGTGCTCGGCACACCACTATACATGGCGCCAGAGATAATGTGTGGCGCCAAATGTGACTTTAAGTCGGACATCTGGTCGCTGGGCCTGGTGCTCTACGAGCTGTGCATCGGTCGCAATCCCTTTCAAGCGCTGCTCCGGCCGACCGATCCCTTTGGCCAGGTGCGCAGTGTTGTCAAGGCCATGGCTCAGCCCAGACTGGACTGTCAGGTGATGCGGCGACGCTACGAACCCATTTGGGCGCGTCTCTGTGAATCGATGGTTGTCTACAAGCCGGAGCAACGCATTTGCCTGCCCGACCTGATCTGCATCGATCCCTACATCACGCAAAGCATCTACGGGCGCTACTTCAAGTATGACTATTAGTCAGAAATAATTATTAGTTGTAAGTTGTGAACCCCTCCCTGGCTTCTCATCTCTTGTAATTTGTAATATTAATTATAAGCATTGTTAGCATTGCCCGCCTTGTTCCCCATAAGACTATGACTATTTGTGATTAATACTATAATTGTTAGATTGTCAGCTGTTTCATGTGATCCTAAACATTGTTAGCTTTATTTCTAGTTATATTATACATGATGTAAGCCATAAATTGTTAATGTCGTCTAACTACGCCTTGCGCTGTTGAATCTTCATCTTTAGACTCTTAACCAGCGCGTTCTGCTCCAGCTGCTGCTTGGATCGCTTCTTTGCCGGCTGCTCAACCTCATCCTCCTGCTGCTGCTGCTCGTTCTGGTGCTGGCGCCGCTTCAACTTCTCGCTTATTAGCTGCTGCATGCCCTTGGTGGGCTTGTAGTGGGAGTGCGTGGGATCAATGTTATACTCGTGCGACTTGTAGACGGCATTGAAGCGCTCATCGTTTAGATCCACCTGGAAGTTGTCCTCATCCTGCGGCTTGCTCTCGCTGTTTTTCGACTTCTTTAGCTGCTTGCGACGCTTGCGCTTGCTGCTGCTGCTGCTTGCCTGCTCCTCCTTAAGTATTTTTGCCAGGCTGAAGTGCTGCTTGGGCTGCTGTTTCACGTCGTCGTCATCGTCCAGCAGCAGCGCCAGCTGCGCCTCCGCCTCGTCATCGGCAGGCGTTGCTTTGATGTGCTTTTGCTTCTTCGATTTGGCCTTTTTACTCAGCTTGGGCTGCTCATAGTCGCCGCTGGCAAACTCCTCGGCGAAGTAGGAGTCGTTCATGTCGATGCCGTCAGGTATGGATTCGTTGTCGCTGTCGTGCGCCGCATCGGGATCAATGCCCTGAAGTTCCAGTTGCTTGCGACGACGCTGCTCCTTGCGCAGCTTGTTCTTCTCGCTGCGCTTTTGCAGCACCTTCTCGATGGGCGTCAGTTGAGATGTGTTGCTGGCTGGTTCTTTGGTGTCGCTCGCCTCGGGCGCATCAATATTCCAGGACATTTCCATTTCATAGTCTTTCTCCTTGGACTTCAGCTCCTGTGCATTGATCTCGGCCAGCAGATTTTTGTACTTTTCAATGCGTTCTTTTTCTTTGAGACGTTTAGCTGACTGCTTTGGGGCTGCTTCTGCCGCTTGCTTCGCTGGCTTCTTTGTATTTTTCTGTACAGCATCAGCCTCTTCCTCTTGCTCTTCCTGCGCCTGTTCCTGCTCTTCCTCGTCCTCGTCTTCGTCCTCATCGCTGCTGTAGGCAACAATCTGGCGCAGTTCCTTGTCGTTTAGCTGATCCACCTTGCCGCTGGACAGCTTGTCGCCCAGTTCTCGCCTGTCCAAAGCCGTCTCGTCCCAAGTCAGATCCACCTTCGCCTGCTGCAGCGCCGTTGTGGTAAACTGTCGCGGCTTGTAGTTGCTCGCATCCGGCAACTCGTAGCACTCGTCCGTGGGCATGTCCTCAGAGAAGCTGGTGTCATCTGGTACGAAGCGCAGATCCACACGCGTCGCAGAGCTCTCGTACTCGATGCCATCACACTCATTGTACACCTTCTCCGCTGTGGCGGGGCTGTCGCACTCGACGACGGCGTAGTAATAGCGCAAGCGATTCAGCTGATACTGGCGTAGCTTCTCCATGTGGTAGTCGTCGCCCTCCTCTGCATCGCTGTCCTGCTCACGTACTAGCTCTTCGTCGGAGTCCGGCTCGCTCTCGGGCTGGGCGGTGACCAGCTCGGTGGGGCCATGCACATCCTCCTCTGCCATGCGCGCCTTGCCGTAATCAGAGGGATAGATTTTGACGCTCAGAACGCTGCCACCGGGCGGCAGGAAAGAGCTGAGCAACACCATCAAGTCCTGGGCACGTATGCGATCCCAGTCCATGTTGCACACAGCTAGACGACGTGTGGCTTCCTCCGTGCACTCCGCATCCATATCCAGCTCCCCCCAGACATGATCGATTTGCAGCTCTGGACCGTCCTCATCATCGGTACTCTCCTCATCCGACGAGGAGTCGGTCATTAGGCGTCCCTCGCCTCGTGCATAATCGATATTCGGATTCGTTAGACGCGCGCGCAAGTTCTCGGGCACTTCGGTGCCATCTTCATCACTGTCCAGCTGCAGAACATCTTTGGCCTGGTCATCTTGTGTGATGGCCAGCTCCTCGGCCCGACGCTCTTCATCCTCATTGTCATTCGTCGGCTTTTTCTGCTCCCCATCCTCGTCCGAACTCTCGTTCTCATCGAGCTCGTAAAACTTGCGCAGATCCTCGGCGTTTGTTTTATTCACAGGCCTGCCGTACTTGTCCACGGTGTACTTGACTTTGAACTTTTCATCGTCGAACATGCCCTGGAAGCGCTTGTCGATCTTCACCTTACGCTGTACCTTGGGCACGCCGCGAAAGCGCGGATCGGCCAGCAAATGCTGAAAGCGCTCATCCTTCCAAATGCCACTCGCTTCAGAACCACCATTTTGGGCTTGGGCTGAAGTCGTAGGATTCTCTTGCTTCGAAGGTTTATCCTGCTTTGTTGGCTTTGCTTTCGGCTTTACCGATTTATCCGGCTTTTTGGCCATGTTCTTACTGTTTAAATAAGCCAACAATACAGCAACACGTGCATAGAGATGTTCACAACATATCGATACCAAAACATCTGTCTGAGCACCACTGATGACATCGATGTGAGTATAAATTGAATTTTCTAAAGTTATCGTGTTAATCTTTTATTTCCCAACGTCCAAAAAGGCTGAGCGCTCTGTCTGTTACACTTTTCTGTAAGAAGGATTTCATTTCCAGAGGCGGGCCTTAACATTACTGTGAAGTTTGTAAAATATAAGTTTCTTAAAGTGGCCGATTTTCGAATTTCGTGCAGCAACGATATCGCTGTACGATGAATATTTGATAGTTTGAAACTATCGCCAACGCTTCGCAATTAGCACTTGAGAGGTGCTAACTATCGATAACGATTCATTTTAAATATCGAATTTCTGAGTTGGTGCAAGAAGTTTATATATATTATATATATGTTTATATAGAATACATCAAATTTTGATTTTGTCTATAAATATGTTTATATAAAAACATTAATGTCGCACTGCACCTAACTTGAAAAGTATAACAACTAGAAAATAATACATTTAAATATTATTCAAATCTGCAGGGAGGGATTAAAATAATTTAATAAGGTTCGATTTTATCAGTAATAACTTTATATGTATATATTCCCTTTAAAGTTGTGTATTCAACATTAATAAGTTACTTCATTGAGATTAGGAGGGATTTTAAATTTCCGGTTAGGCGGGAACAATTGGCAAGCAGTGGCAGCACTAAGGCTAGTGTTGCCAGACATTGCGAGCCCTTGAATTCCAAATTTGCCAATATGTTGAGCAATATTGTGATTTTGAAGTCACTGCGACTGCAGCTAATCGATGCTTATATAAACCTCACAGCTAAAAAAAAATATTTACACAATATGTTTAAAAGTTGATTTCATGAAATCGAGCATGCAGTGCTCATTATACAAAGAAGCGACTGTATATCTGTATACCTGTGCATACTCGCAAAAGTAACTGGTGCGTAGGGGTAGTGCATCACTAAGATCATGAATATAAATAAATTATTTTGCTTTGCAAGTTAATATAGGATAATGCGATTAGTAACAATATTGCATTAAGATCAATTTAATTTGCACTAATTGTTTAATTTAATATGCTTATACGTCTCACCTCGATGACAGGCAAGAAGCAACGCTGCGCGCATGTGTAGAGCGAGAGCGAGCAACGCTGGTTTGCATAGCTCTCCGTGGACAGCTGCGAGCGCTCCGTTTGGAGGGGGGACTTGCAAATTTTTATTTATTACTCATCCAGCGAGTATGATGCAGTCATCGAAAGATTTATAAAAACCAGGTCCAGTTGCAGGTCCAAGTTCGAGCTCGTTGCATATGCGCATAATTTGTTTAACAGATGTGCAATTTGCTGTGGGCGACGCAAAAGATAAAGTGAATGCGAATTCAATACACCAACAGTGCGTCTGTGTGTGTGTGTGTGCGTGCGTGTATGTGTTTATTTAAAGCCAAGTGAACCCCCTGCCCCCTGTACATAGATAATTGGCACCACAACGCACAACGCCAGCTGCTGAGCGAAGTTGAATCGGGAGTGCAACAACGCTCGATGCCCGGCTTCCATCTCAATGAAATGGGCGAAATGGTCTTGGACGCCATCGATGACATTGGCGTGGTCGATGTCTACGATCTGGCATCGGATATTGGCAAGGAGTATGAGCGGATCATGGATCGCTATGGCACCGATGCGGTAAGCGGTCTAATGCCCAAGATAATCAATACGCTGGAGCTGCTAGAGGCATTGGCAACTAAAAATGAGCGCGAGAACTCTACCATACAGGAGTTGCGCGAGAAGATCGCACAGCTGGAGAGCGAAAAGCTGGAGAAGGCAGAGTTTCGGCGTCGCTTCGAAAAGGAATTGGAGCTAATTGAGGAGCAGTGGCGCAGCGAGACCAATGAGCTGGTTGATTTGGTTTCCTCGCTGCAGGATGAAAACAAGCGGTTGGTAAAGCAAACCCAAGACCTGCAATCGTCATCTGCACAAAGCTCCGGCTTGGGCGCCAGCCTAACCGAGAGCATCATCAGCATGACCAACAATGAGCTGCACAGCGCGCTTTCCGATACGCAGGTTCTGCAGCGGCTTAAGGAGCAGATCTATAAGCAGCGCGACGAGCTGAAGCAACGTGAACGCGAACTCCAGGACAAGTACAGTGAGCTTGAGCATGTAAGTAACTGCCTTCGGATGATGAGCCTCCAATTGATGTATTTCTCTTTTCGTTTTATACAGGTCAACATTCAGGCGGAGCGCCTAAAGGCCTCGGAAAGGGACACGCGACGACGCCATAAGCTGATGCAGGCTCAGGTGAAGACGCTGTGCGAGGAGCGTGCCGATTTTCTAGCCCAGCTGCAGGACCAGTGCCGCGAGATCAATCAGCTGCGCAAGCGTTTGGGCCTCGCCGAAAAGGAGAACGAGGATCTGGTGCAGTCGTACGATGATGATCAAAATGATCCAAATAGGCCACGCTATACGACGCGAGAGCTCAAGGAGCTAATCAGCGAGCGCGACGAGCTGCTCACCACCATTGACAACCTCAACCAGCAGCTGGCAGAGCTGAAGCCGGCGACCAGTGCCAAACGTACGCGTCAAATATCCAGCTCTGATGACAGCGACGACGATGACGACAACGAGGCCGATGACGGTGTTGAGGCTGATGTCGACGATGACAATGTGGCTGGCGAAACGTGCGTATACACACACATTAAAATGTAATTACAATTTCTAATGATTATGTACACCATTTTTATTGTCAGGCCACCTGGACACGATGCGCCCGTGCAGGGACCGCTGCCCTATGAGCCAGACGATGCGCCCTGGAAGAAAAGCTCCGAGTCGGGCATACGCAAGTTGTGAGTGTGAAAACAGTTTTTGAAATTGATGCTCGTTTAAATTTACGCACGTTCGACTAATTAAATTGTTTTGCGTGTTAACAGCTTTCGTAAACTTTTCTCGGATCCAGCGGATGGCAGCAATACATTCCCGAAACGTTCCTTGGCCACACTCTCGAAGATGGCGCTCTCGGCCACGCCCGGCAGCGGCAGCCAGCCGAAGTAAATGCCTTTTAGCCTAAGCGACAAGTGCATAATTCCAAAAAATTCTAATTATGTGGTTTGATTTTGTTTTATGTATTATTATTTTTTGTTCTTTTTATTTATTTATTTTTAGTCCCTGTCTGTCCCTTGCTATGTTTTATATGCTCGCTAAGTATTTACCATTTTCTTATTTTATGTACATAATTTACATATTCGATTGCTGTGCTCTCATAATCTTAAGTTGTTATTTCTTTTTTACGTGATTGTTTAATATGTAACTTTATTTTTTATTTTTTGACGTTCTACTGACTTTAATATGCCAACTTTTGCGCAAAATGCTTTCATTTACTTACATATAGTATGTAATTGTACTACCCAATAATATGTATACTAACTAATCTAATCTATGACCAAAATGCAAGGAACTATTCTATGCTTGACTAGCAGGCACAACGGGCAACGGACTCCTTTCGAGACCGAACCGAATACATATACACACACACGCAATATATATAGATATATATACATATACATATACATTTTACTATACATAATACATATTTACATAGCTACTTATCTAACCATTTAGACATACATACATACCCTATACATATGCAATGTTCCAAAGAACAAAATGTATGCGCAAGTTTTTCAAAGTTTGCAGGCCAGTGAGTGAGTTTTGAAAGAATTTAACCAATTAGAGAACCATAATGAATACAATATGAATACCTAGTAATTGTAGCGAGTTTTTAAACAGTATATTAAAACGTATTTAAACATTTGCATAACACGTATTCCAAAGTTGTGTATTTTTCGAGTCTATTCTACTTACTGCTCGATACAGTTTTAATATTAACAAAATTAATTAATTAGAAAACAATCCTTGAAAAAGCATTAACAATTGTTGCCTCTGTTGCAAATCTTAGCCGAAGACTAGAATTCCTGTTAACAAATTATTCTAAGCAAATATTTGCAATATTTATATGGAAAATATATATTTAGAAATTTTATATATTTACTGCAATTAGCAATATAGGCAAGCTGTAATCTATGTATAACTATAACTCTCTCTCTCTCTCTCTCTCTCTCTTCCACTCTCACTCTTTCTCACATAATGTATCTGTATCTCGCTCTAACCCTGTAGCCATCTCTTTATAGCGAATTGAGCCTTTTTGTAGCAGTTGCCCCAAGCGGCCTTATATTAAAAGAAAATATGATGAACATGATCAAAATAACATAGCAAATGCATATTATAATTAATCATAATTAGCCAGCGTTGAATTGTAGCTGATTGTTTGTTGACAAATTAATTTTAATTAGAGATAAAACGAACAAAAATTAACAAAATTGAATCAAAATCAAAAGCATAAAAACGTTTTTTAGCCGCAAATTTTAACCAGATAAAAAAGAAAAGAATACAAGTTCCACAAAATATGACTAGAATTGTTTGTTAGAAATTAATTGAAAACCAAGTACCAATTTATATAGCTTAACAGTTTTCGTGTGTGCACCACAATTTGTTGCATTTGCCACAGTTGAAACATAGATAAAAGATATCATTATTTGATTATATTCGAACAGGTTGCATTTTGTTTCCCGCTTCTTCTGGCTGTCCATATCTATAAGCTTCTCGCTTCGCTCCTAACTTCGCTTAACATGCGGTTGTTTCGTAATTATGTACAGATATACAACTCATCGTATCAGGTCCAAGCATAAAGTACATATCAGTTTTTTTATTAAATTGAAAAGCCGTTAAAAACTCATTTTGGTTTTGGTTTTGAACGAATATTGCAAGCAACGAGAAATGTGCCAAAGACTAAAACGGAATTCAGCGGTTGCCATTGATCCCAGATCCAAACATTTTACACATAATCCAAACCATGTTAATTCCTACATTTACAATTACAAACTAATTATTTTTCCTTGGCAACTGAATTTTACACACAACAAAAAAATTATAAATAATAAAAGAAGCAACGGCAAACTGCAGCTGAACAAAAAAAGAAAACGAAATTAAAGACATGCGAGTATTTGTCTGAAGTATTAAAGCTATTAATTTATACTTTATTAAATTAATTCGTTGTGCCACAGAAATCTCAAGAACTATAAATTGCGTGCATAAATCTGACTGAATCGATTTCGTATTTCTTTATTTTCAGTATTTTTTTTTAAAAACATTTCAGCAATTTGAAGATTTTTGATTTCTGTGACACAGCGCAAAATATGGAAATGAATTATACAAGTACATATACATATATTCAATAAATTAATGTTAACTAAATTTATATATACATATACATATTATATACATACAATATATATTAACCAAATAACGCAAATTATTTAAAAAAATTATATACATTATACAAAACATGGCCAGTTCTCGAGTATGCGACAGAGTTAATGGACCGCTCCAACAATATCATAGTACATGCTCGCAGCACACATTTTATGCATTTTATGGATGCGGCAAATAAAAGTTATGGCAAGAAAAAACAATCAAATCAATTTTACTTAATTTCAGTGACGCAATTTAGCGAAGAGCTTATCTACCTTTAAATACTTACATAGAAGCAATTGACATATTCTATCAAATGTTTGTTAAGAAAATATAATAAATGCAATGGTACAAATATAAATATTTGATGAACAAATTTTATAAATATTTGTACAAATATGAATATTTACTTAACACATTATGTGAGTATTTGTTTAACAAATTTTACAAATATTTGTATGATTCATGTAAATATTTATACAAGTATAAGTGTTATAAATATTTGATTAACAAGTATTATATATATTAAATGACTCAGTATTATAAACATTAAATGACTCGGTATATTTGATTTTGAATAATCAAACAGTTGATGAATATATTTTTAAATAATTGATGAACAAAGCTTAAAGATAAACATTAAATATTTGAACAAATATAAAAACTTTAAGCAAATATTAATAATTGATGAGCAAAATATTTGATTAACAAAGATTATAAATATTTAAACAAATTATAAATACTTGATAAACAATAATGAATATTTGATGAAAAAAAATACATTTGAAAATAGAATCCCATAAGTCAGAAGAAACATGGCCCTCCAGTTTAAAGCGGGCTGCGTCATAATGTTCAACTTTTCGTTCGGTTTTCTTCGGCCGATGTAAAATTATGAATGTTATATACAAATTTATAACAAATACCGAAGTTGTAACTAATCCTGTAAACAGTTCAAACCAGGCTGCGTTGAAAACTTTCGGCCTTGCGGCCCGTTTTCTTCGGATCGATGGATAGAACAGTTTGTGACTTGATTTCCGAAATTTCCATTATAAAGTATGCATGTACATATAAGACATAGAAAGGAAATCGTTATAAATGTGTGAGTATACCATTCAGTATAATGCTGACAAGCCGAGCGTGCCCGACTAGTAAATACTCTGCACTTGTTTCAGAATTGCGCAATTCAATTTTAAGGGAGTTTAAGTTTAAACATTTCTTTACGCCCAGCTGCGATGTATCCAAAAATTGAAAAATACGAACATTATAAAAGAACCTTCACGTCAAATTCTATAGTTCGAGCTAAATAATTTAAGGAAGCCAGCTGAAAGAAAGTACATTCCAGATTATGTATCGACGCCCCCATCCAGAGATAGGAACAGACGGGTTGGACACATCTTTAACGATTCTTCCGTAAGTGATATGAAGAACTAACATGATAAACTTTGTACTATCCAAGTTGCCTCCTTCCGAAATACTTTCTAGAGCGCTACTTAAATGGATCCATGGGGCATCAGTACTTACCATCCCGGTGGTCAGTTGTTGTTTGGCCTTCATTTGGCCACATTGCTCCTGCAGCTGGTCACATTTGGTCTGTAAGTGCTCCATCCTGTCCCGATCTTGTTCAATCTTTCTGTGCATAACACTCATGCGATGCAAATAGTTTGCCCTCTCTAGTATCAGGTCCTCGTTGGAGAAGCGCAGATCTGACAGGTCCTTCTTTAATTTGGCCAACTTGGCCTCCAGGCTCCTCACATTGCGGCGAGTATTATACTCACGCTGAGCTATCCCCCGGCCCTCCGATTGCAGCTTGCCAAGGCGAATATCTAGGTGGCTGATCACCAAATTCTGGCGCAATCGCAGGGTGTTCAGCTCCTGAAGCGTACTGTCCAGCTTCTTCTGGGCCACGTTGTGGATTTCACGTTCGGTGGCCATTTGTTTTTTGTATTCCGCAAGCGAATCCTCAGTTTCACAGAGTTGCTGCAGCAGCTCGGTCGAGTGCAACTTCTGCAGATGAAGTGCCCCGTTGAGGTCGCCCACTTGCTGGGTCAGGCCCAATATTTCATTATTGGTGAGGGCCAGCTTCGATTGCAGGCTGTGCAGCTCGGACTGGGCTATGTGGAGCGATTTCTCTAGACGCTTTATATCGCATATAGATGCCGTGTATTCCTCCATGGAGCGCGCGTGTTGCTGCCGAAATGCAGTTAGCTCCTGCTCGGCACATCTCGCTTGTTCCTTGTAGGCTTTCACATCCTTCTGCAGCGTGTTCTTCTCTTGGCGTAGTGCGAACAGCTGCTCCTTGTGCTTGACTAGAGCACGCCTGGCCTGGGCCAAATCGTGCGTGCTGCTGATCGACTCCGGCGGCTGCTCGGCTCTTCTTTCGAAGGCGCTGATCTGAGCTTTTTGCGCTTCCACCTGGAAGTCCTTTAGCTCTAGTTTCTTTTGTAGCTTAACAATCTCTAGCTGTATTTCCGCACGCTTCTCCTCCACCAGCTTTGTTTGGCCCTCCGCCAGAGCTAAATATTTCTCGTGCTCCGCTCTTAGCTGCTTCTGCAAACATGTTCTCTCCAGTTGGAGTGCGTCGTACTCTTGGACAATATACTCTATGCGCTGCAGCTTTTGTTCAGCCTCTACAAGCTTTTTCAGCGGCTTCTCCAGCCTCTTCTCGGCCTCATCTAGCTTCTCCACAGTCTCCGCTTGCACTTGCTGCGCGTGGCCTAACTCCTGCTGAACCTTATCGAATTGTTTTCTAATGTCATCCAATTGCTCCAACGTCAGCAGCTGCAGCTGCTGCAAATCGTGTAGCTGACCATATGCGATTGCCGTCTCCTGCTTTGAATTATCCAATTTCTTGTGCAGATCCAGCTGCTGCGCCTGCATTGCTCCTATACGCTCCTGGGCGTGTTTCAGGTCATCTTGTGCTTTGGCCTTCATCGCTTGAGCCCTTTCCACCTGTTCCTGCATGCTCTCAAGCCGCATTTTGTAATTCCCGAGCTTCTCGCTCAGCTTCAGCTGTGCGCAGTCCTGGTCGTGCATGTGCCTGCGGGCGATTGCCAGCTGCCTAACGAGTCCATCCTTGTCTTCGCCCTCCGATGCACTACCTCCTCTGCTGCTCCTAGCATCCTTTAATTGTTTTTTCGAGCGATCAATCCTTTCCTGGTAATTGGCAATTTGTTGGGCGAGCTCCTTTTGGTGGGACTCGTGGCCAATTATTTCGTGGAAGGCACCATTTAGTTCGTCTTCTAGTCCAGATTGATCCATGGTCACAATTTTGGGCTTCTCCCTCAGTTTCTCAATTTTCTTTGCCTGCTGCTCGGCATCCTTAAGTTGGGCCTCCCGCTCCCTTATCTGCTGCTCTAGATTTTTAACACGCTTTTTATAGCTAGCCAGATTTTTCTCAAGCCAATCCTGATGTGCGGCGCTCAATCGAGCTTCCCTTTGGAATGCATTCGTTTCGCGTCTTCGCATCTCCCCCATCTGTTCCTGCAGGAGTTCCGCATGATCTCGGTAATACCTGGCCGTCTTAACCAGCTTGTGATTTACGACCTTCAGTTTCTCCACTTCCTCACGTGCGATTATCAGCTTCTCGACCAATTTCTGTTCGTGCTGACTTGGGCAGTTGTGACGCTGGGATATGGTCAGCTGTTCCTGTAAATTTGCCGTCTGCTCTTGATAGCTAAGGAGCTCGCGGCCTAGCTGCATATTCGCGCAGTTGGCATCTTGCAGCTCCTGCATCACCATCTCTAGCTGATCTACCAGCCCCAAGGTCAGTTTGCCGTTCTTAGCACGTTCCAGTTGGCGCTGTAGATGCTCCACCCTCTGTTGGTACCGGGTGACAGTTCTGGCCAGCCTCTGGCGCTCCCGTTTTTGCACCTCGATCTCCTTATGCGCCTCGACCAGCTGGCATTCCATCTGCCAATCCTGATTGGATGGTTGCTCGATCCGTTGCTGCAATTCTTCCATCTGCTGTTGGCAATCGGTTAGCTTTTCAGCTAGTCTCTGGCGTTCGCTTAGCCCCTTCTGCAGGTCCACTTGTGCGGCTTGCAGCTGCTCTTCCCTCTCCTTTAGCTGGCGCTGTAGGCCTTCCAGCTGCTGGCTCAGCCCGCTCACGACGCTTGACGCCGGCTGTTGGAGCCTCCGTCTGGAGCCGCCACTAAGCTGATCAAGCAGCAGTCCCGACTGCCATTGGTGCTCCCTTCGTGCCTGGCTTTGCTTCAGCTGGCTTTGTAAGCTGTCAACCTGTACCCGACACACCTCCAGCTTTTCGCACAGCTGCTGATTGGCAGAATCTCGCGCATCCAGCTCTATTGCGGCGGCCTTCTGTTGCTCCAGTAACCGCACTTGCAGCTCCGATTGTTTGTTAGTGCTTAGTTCTTGGCTTATTACCAGCTCCTGCTCCAAGTATTCCACATGCTGCTGCAGCTCTGCGAAATCGCGGTCCTGCCCAACGTGCACCGATGAATTATCTGCCATAGGACATGCCTGCTTGACGCGTCGATCCATATTTGTTAGCGATACTTTCAGCTCGTTGAACATATTGGTCAAGTGTTCTAGTTCGCGATCCCGATCGTTAACCAAATCGAATGCCTCATTGAGTTTCGCCTCAAGCTCCGATGAATATTGCTTGTAAGTCTCCAGCCGCTTCTCCCATCCCTTTGATTCGCCAGCACGCCTGGACACCAAGAGTCTATGGCTCAGCTGCAGATTCTCGTTTTTCATATCGTTCAGCTCGTTGCGTGTGGTCCTCAGCTCCTGTTTGAGCACCGAATACTTGTCCTGCTGAATGGCCGACTGTAGCTCCTGCTCCAGCTGTTCATTTTTAGCCTTGGCTGCGCTTAGCTTTTGCTGCAGTTCATCCAGCAACGTCTTTTGATCCTGATCCTCCTCGTCGGTTTGCTGCTGCTCGTCCCTGGGCAGTTTGTAGTCCGAGACTATTCGGGCAACTTGTGCGATGTGATCCATTACGTTGTTTTTTATTTCCTCCGTCAATAAGGTCAGTCGGCGCTGGTGCACGACAACCATTTGATTATCTATGACCAGTGGCATGTTGAGATTCACATTTAGGCGGACCATACCTGAGACGTAACTAATCATCTTCTCTTTGAGCCGACCCAGCACTGAACCCACTTTCTGGTGGTACTCGTGGAGCTGCTGCTCGTCTGAAATCTCCGATATGTTTTGCTCCGACTCCAGTTTGTTGATGTATGCGATCTGGTGCGTTAGCTCCTGCCCGAACCAGTTGCATTCGCTAGTTTTGTAATCCAACTGTTCCTCCAGATGCTTTATATAGTCGTCCAACTTTAAGCGATCTGCGTGCTCCATTTGCATGTTTTGCTGCTGATCGGTGTACTGCTTCAGGCAGCTCCTGTACTCGCTGGTCAAGTGGGCGCTGCTCGCCTCCAGCCCCTTGAAATCAGACATAAATTGCTCTATCTGCAGGCGCAGCTGCTCCAAGGCATTCATGCCAGTCTCTTGGCTCATTGACGGCACATTGTAGATACTTTCCACTTCCAGCAGCATCTTCCGGATGTTCGCTTCGTGAGCACTCAATGCGTCCAGGGTCGCAGGCACTGTGATTTGCGATTGCGTGTTAAGCGTATCTAGATATCTGTAGTTGGCCACAAATTGGCTGAGTTGTTTGCGTAACTGATGGAACACGGCACCTGGCTCATCGTCTGGCTCATCGTCTGGCTCGACGGCTAGGTTGTTGCACTCGGCTAATATTTGGAGCATTTCGGCGGCGAACGCGTCCTGGGCTTGTATTTGTTGCAGGTACAGAACCAATTTTTCTTCATGATCCAGTTGCACCAAGCGCCCTTCGAGCGCCGGCTGATCTTCCTGCTGATTATGCGAGTCCTCCAAGCTTGCGGCTTGCTCCACGTTCAGCTGTTGATAGTAAAGGTGGACAGGATTAGGTAAGGCCAGCTTTTTCCTACTAGCTAACACAGACTTGCAGCCTGTGCCCACTTGTCGATTATCACGTACCGTTTCATTGGCTGGCAAAGTCTGGTTGTGCGATTCGTACTTTGCGGCCATCTGGTCCATTGTATACTCAATAAGACCGAAGAGCGTTGGTAGCGAATCATCTTGCGGAGGCAGTTCCGGCAACTCCGCGTTGTGTGAGCGAATAAGCCGCAAAATTTTTTGCTTAAATCTCATGCGTTCATTCTCCGCAGAAGCCGCAGATGCCTCCGGCGAATCATTTCGCTTCTCTGCGCTTCCACGCAATTGGTTCTCTACCGATTGGGTCTTCTCTTCCGAGCTAACACCAATATCGTCCGTAGTGTCATTCAGTGCAAAACTGCCTCTGCGCAGGCGCATCTTTAGCGCTTCGCAGTCTGAGCGTAGATCTTCCAGCGTACGCTCCCTGTCCATCACGATCCCGTCCGCACTTGCCACGAGGTCCTCCAATTCATGTATGCGTTGCATGCACGACTGTGACTTCAAATCGGACACTTGCACCTAAATGAAAAACGAGATTCCATTAGTCCATCCGGAATAAGCGCAATGGAAGATCTTCGTAGTAGGATATCGAAGTGAAAGGAATATTGGCTTACCTTTTTGGTTAGCTCGTCGTTATTAATTTGTAAGGCTCTCATATGATCTTGGAGCAGTTCAATGAGCGTGTCCTTGTCTACGCTCCCATTGACCATTGCCAATTGTAGCTGATTGGATGAGTGTTAGAATGATATTCTGCAATTGGGTTAATATATTTTATTTTGCCTACTATTTCATTTTTGATGGACTCCCCTGCATACTCGTCCCCGCTGCGATATGTTGTACTGGAAGAATTTCCCAGTTCCTTTTCCTCCGACTGCAGCACGGCATTGGTTGCTTTGGCTCCAAGCTGTTCTTCCTTTGGAGCGAGCTACACGAGTTATCAAAGAAGTGGATGGGTTCTAGTTATAAAGAGAAACTCACGTTGTAATTATCGCCATCGCCTTTCCCTTTCTCGCTAGATCGCAAGGAATCTGTATCGATGGTGGTCAACGTGTAGATATTATAAAGACTGCTCAGCTCCAATTGAGCATTTGCTGAATTTTTTGAACAAACACTGGAAACTTTTTCGCGGAACAGAGCAACCCTAGACTTGGAATACGTTTTCGCCGGCACCTTTTTATTTGCGTGGCTATCAATCCAAAGCTGACTTTCCGATCCGTTGCTGGAAGGCGGAGAATTGCTTATGCCATTGTTGCTACCGAGCAGATTCTTGTTATCCATCTCGTTATCCATCCAACAGTATTTCTCTTCGGAGTCGACACCTGAACTGCTGCTGGCGGGCAGATAAGGGACGTCAGCATTGTTGGCGAAGATGCGCCATGAACGGCTGCGTTTACGCAGAAGCCTGGTCGGGGTCCAAGAATTGTTTTCTGCTAAATTGCATTCATGGATGCTTTCCTTGTAAGCAGGCTCTTCGACAGCTTTGTTATCCATGTCATCGGGTTCTTTGCCAGCCTCGTTTTCAGAGCAATCTCGTCCTCCGGCGGCTTCGTTTAACAAGTTATCGGGTTCTTCTCTTGCCTCATTATCAGGATTGCGCTCTTCTGTGGCTACGTTCTCGATATGATCGGGCTCATTTTCTTCGTTCTCGGTATAATCGAGAACATTTTCAAAATTATCTTCTTCAGTTCTAGATTTCTTTGGTTCAGGTGCCTCGTACAGAATATTGGGTTCATTTTCATTTTCTTCGGCGTCCTCTTCGATATAATCCGATTCCTCTTCAGCGCCATCCGAGTAGTATTCCTCAACGGTTTCGTTCAGTTTATAATCGGGACTATTCAAGTATTCGGCTTCCTCGTCGGCCTCACTATCAGAGTTACTTTCATCGGCGGTACAGGCCTCTACATAATCTTTTCCACTTTCATATTCTTCGACGGCTTCTTCTTCAAAGTATTCGGATTCTTCGTCGGCCTCATCAGAATCGAGTTCTTCGGAAGATTCGTTCTCTGCATAATCGGGCACATTTTCATTTTCCGCGACAGCTTCTTTCACAATATATTCAGACCCTTGGCGGGGCTCATCAGAGTTGCGTTCTTCCCCAATATAACCGGGCTCATTTTCTTCGACGGGTTCTACCTCAATGTATTCGGATTCTTCGCCGGCCTCATCAGAGTTCCCTTCCGCGATGGCTTCGTCCTCCATATAATCGGGTTCGTTTTCATCAGCGGCCTGGCTTACACATTCTTCACCCATCACATATTCGCAGCCGCAACCAGACGAATCGCTATTGCCATTATGGTCAGGAGAATCGTCTTGAAGACCCGAGGGCATCCGGGCGATGCAATCGTGCAATATAACTCTCGATAGATTGGACATATCTGGGATGTATCGAGTGAAGATATCAATGCAATTTTCAATATAATTATCTTGGAAGACACCGTCAGGAATATAGTCGATGCCACCGTTATCGCTGGCGTATCGCCATAGAAGAGAATATACATAGGCGTAATCGCTGGCAGCGATGCCGCCATTTTGTTCTAATTGGGGCTCAAAATTGGGGAAATTCTCTGCAAATCGGATATTATTTTTATTAGAGACTAATGCCTAATAATGCCCGTACGTGCGCACCTTCCAAAAAATAAAGCAATGGCCTATTTGCAGCCTCTGGATTGGAAGGCAAATATTTCACGCGCTCTGCGTATGGCGGAAAGAATATTTCGGGCTCTAGATCATCCAAACACACTGGAGTTGGTTCTATGAGCTCGCAGTCCCTAACCTGCAAAGTATTTCTGAAATTTGTGACACACTTAGAAAACCAAAAGAGTACACTTGCCCATTTCAAGAGGACTTTCTTCCACGTAGAAAGCTCCATTACACATTAAGAAATTCAGACAAAACCCAAAATGTACTTCATTAGGTTTTGATTGCCTTCTACTTTAATTTCCACATATATTGCAACCTTTTGGGAGATAATCCAATTTAATATTCTGTGTGTTACTCACTTGATGTGCACATTCACAATGATAGAGAATCTCCTGCTGTCGAGTTAGCTAAGGAATTGTGATGAAGTTCATTGCGGTGCCTATTTTGTTTTCCGCAAAGAGTGTTGGGTAACGTGTGCAGGAAGCGTCAAGGCTAAGCGGTGTTGGAATCGGTGAATATTATTTGTAAGTAAACTAAGGCTTGTTATTAAAATTAATTGTTTTGTTTGTACACATACAAACAGATTGATTATATCTGCTTGCGAATTATAATTGAAACAGCATTTATTTTGTTTGTACATGTTTCTGAACTGAATATTATGTGGAGTGTTGACAATATTGTCATGGAGAATATGTATATAATCGAGGGATGTGACAATAATGTTGTGATGTAAAAATAATGTCAAGATGTGAACTTTTTTTCAGGTGTATTTTTTTCATTTATTTGGTTTTCGATCTACTTGTTTATAATCATTGCATACATAGTATTTTATTGATTAATATTAGATACAAAATATAATTATGATACAATTGTTGTATTTACATAGATTCTTATTAATCGTTTTCCTTTTCAAATATTCGTTATTCGCTGCATTGGAAAAGCGAGCACGAGCTTTTGCTGGTTAAGTTTAAACCTCTCCATCTCTTTCTTCTGCTGGGTGCGCTTTTAAGCTACCGTAAACTTGCGTTGAATTGCAGGCCAAGGACACGCGAGTCCTTGCACATTGGCGCCTCGCAGCTTCCAGCTGAGCATATTGCCATATCCTGAACAGAGTCCTGGCGCTCGTCGGCTGCCGCTTGCTGTGCGCCTGCTGCGCTGGCTGAGTTTGAGGCGTATCTAGGCGTGGTGTCTACTCCGTGCGCGACCTTGAGAGCGCCCGGATGCTGGCTGCTGGCTGCTGAATTGAGAGGCGGTTCGCTCGCCGCATCCGCTTAATTGCTCGGACCGACCCGGCCCGGCACAGGCACGTGCGAATGGAACAGCAAGCGAGCAGCGATAAGGGCGTAGCCAGGTCTATGCCCACCAATGGCTGGGCGAGCACGGCCTGGCTGACGGACGAGCCGAGGCGAGGCTGGTCTGGGCGTCCTTCGGCGTTGTCGTCTGCGCGATTCCAATTAAGCAATTAAAAATGCGCCGGGAATGAGCTAAATGGTGTTCCGGCCGCGTCTGGGGCAAACGTTGTCAGCTTTTTAATTAAGACGATGCCGGCGTAATAGGATAGAAGAAGATGCGCTGCAAAAAGCGTAGGTCGAAATGTGTGCAGCTAATGAAGAGGATGGCCAATGTGGCGGGGAGCAACATTTTTCACTAATTGGCTGAGCTGTTAGGCCGGCCAGGGCATGACGGAGTGTGGGGGGAGGCTTTGGGTTGTGGGGGTGGGAGTAGGCTGGGTGGCTGTCTCTGCTCTGTTTTGCTGTGTTCTGTGCTGTGCCGCCTGCCTGCCAGCCTGCCTGCTATTAATTAAAAACAACATTTAATGAATTCGCAGCGCGCAACATAAACTGCATTTAACGGCAGACGGGGCGGCGCTCAAGTTCAAGTCTTTGTTGTCGCTGTCGCTGCCGCTGCTGACGCCGCAACTGTTGCTGCTTGCTGTCAACGAAGTCGTTCGGGCAACTGCCCGATGCTTGCCATCGCGTGTGCGTACGATTTCAGGGGCCTTCAGTCAGTCGATTTTTTAACAGGCGTGCAGCAAGCCACTGAAGCAGCAGCAAACTACCAACTCCCCCAACAGAGCAAAAAGAAACAGAAACACACACACACACACATGCATACAAACGTATACACATTATTGTTGCATGCTGCTGGCTGGAACAGTCAGCGGGTTTTTTTTCAGCTAAGGAAAAATAAAAGCTAAAAGCTGTAAGCGCAAGAGCTAGCGAGCGCAAGCAAGAGAGAAAGTGAGTGAGAGAGCGAGCGAGCGAGAGCGTGAGCGTAGCAGCAACAACAAACCAAGCGATGTTTTATTTTCTTGCTGCTGCTGCTGCTGCTGCTGGTTGTCGCACACTGTGCGCCTGTGCACAAAAACTGTTTTTTATACAAGGACATTGCCATCGCATGACATTTCATGAGTGCAAACATATAACAGCATAATATATGTATGCATACACGTGCATACAATATATAAAATGTACATGCGAGTGTGTGTGTGTGTGCGAATTAAAACGTCGCGCAATTGTACGCTCTCGTATGAGTGAGTGTGCTAAAGCGAGCAACATGTACGCAGAGAGCGCAACGAGCGAGACAACTAGCTTATGCACTGATTCAGCTGTATGACGCTCTCTCTGTCTAGACCGCATAACGTTTGCATGTGTGTAGCTCTTTCATTGTGCGAGGGGGCCTGTTGCTTGGCAACGCGCTGCTGTTGTACGCTGGGCGCCTATTTAGCGGCCAGCGTTTGGTTGGAACAAGAAAACGAAAGTGTTGTGTTAAAAGCGAGCGTGTTGTGTGTGGAGCTCGTGGAGCCCACTGTCGGCAAACGCATTGGCATTGGCCGTATGTGGAGTCCGTTGCGCCGCGCGGCCATATGTGATTGGGCATCCTGGCCCGTGCCCGGCCATGGGCTGTCTTCGATGGTGTTTCGGCGGCATCTATTGGCATCTCGTTGGGTAGGGTGTCTGGCGTGTTGTCTCTGGCCGCCTGCTGAAATTGCGACGCGCATGACGCGATTTTGACTACGCCACAAACATGTTGGGACGCCCCCCAACACCCCATTAGTTCGTCAGCCGTAGCAGCTATACGCATCAAATGCTGGGCGCCTATTGAGTTCGGGTGAATTCTACGAATTCGCCTGCAAACAATTTTTATCATTTTCGCGATGTTGCAATGGCTTATTGGAATGAACATTCTAGGAACTTGCCCTAGATGCGGCAACAGGCGACCAGCAAACAGCAGCACAGCGACGACCTAAATAGTGTTTGCGCACAATTCACTTGCCTCTCTCTCTCCCTCTCTCACTCTTTTCACACATTGCTGCTGCTTTTTCTTTTATATGCATGTTCGCACGTATACATAAGCCGAAGCAAGACGATGGCAATTTATATGCCGATTGCAATCATGTACAGCGAGTGGAGCGTGCTAGAAGAGGACGGCAACAGTTGTGGGTGCGGTTAAGAGATTTTGACAGCGCATTGGTTGCTGAAATGGCTAAGCTTTAAGCTTTCGATTTGTGTGCAAGTGCTAAGCTGACAAATTACAGCTTTTGCGTGTTGCTTTCGTTGTTCTTGTTATATACCCTGCAGTGTGTGCATAGAGGTGTATTCGGCATATGCATATTGCAGCTTTTAATAGCTGCGCTTGACAATTGAATAACAACATAATTTCTAAGCTGGCAAGTAAATCATTTGATTGATGAGAATCTCTAATAAGTATCTAATCATGGCAGTCATTAGTCAAAATAAAAGAAAACAGTTTATAGGGCAACCGTGAGTCGACTTGCTGGACCAGTGTGTGCATACACGTATTTGTCTGTGTGTATTTGACAGCAGCAAGAGTAAGAAAAAAGAACAACATTGCAAGTACAGCCCGGCTGCTGGCAGTCCGTCTCTCATAAAATGCGTTTTTTGTTGGTACAATAAATGCTCCAATTTTGCCAGGCGAACATAATGGGCCACATAGCGACCAAGCTGCCAAGCAGACTGGGATCCAATGCAGACAGACGCAAGTACAAACACACACACACACACAGGTGCTAGTAACACACACTTGCACTTGCACTTGCGTCCAATGAGAGAATTCTGGTTTATTCTTGCTTTCTGTTGTTGTTGTTGCTGCTGCTGCCGTTGTTATTGTTTTTATTTTTATGCATAATGTTTGCTTTACCTTTTGTATCGCCGGTTGTTGCTGTTGTTGCTTTAACAGCCAATAGGAACAATAGGAGCATAACCGACCAGTGCTGATAAAAACTATACAAAGTGAAACCCACTCGTAAAACAGTTTCATTGCCCGCAGCGCAAAACTTGAAAGCGAATGTTATGCGCTTGAATAAGCAAACCCGCCGCTCATTAGCATCCAGTATGCGGGCGGAGCAGGGGGAGGGGGGAAGGGGCATACGGGGAATTCGATATAACTAGCTGCCACAGACAGTTTCCATGGAATCTGTGGTTATATATGGTTTAAATATAAATTATATCTTTTGTCCGTACTTTAGACAGTTTTATTTCTTTGAATTCAAAAAATATGAAAAAAATAACCAATACTAATCACAATAATACTAATACTATTCTAAGAAGTCTATCTAGTCATAATACTAATAATAATGATCATGTTAATAATAAGAATAATAATATTAATAATAATAATAATAAAACTAACCAAGACTTATCACAGTTATACCAATACTAATCTATTACTATTCTAATATTAATAATAATATTAATAATAATAATTTTAATAATAATAATATTAATAAAACCTATGCAAATACTGATCATAATACTTATAATATAAAATTATACATAAGTTTCATCCTTATAGAGGTCATTTTAACAAATAACTTATAAAATAGGAAGGGCACATGGGAGTACTTTGGGCATATCTAGTATATATATATGTATATGTATATAATAAGGTGTCTTATATAATCGAATCTTAATTGTTTGTGGCCTGAGACATGTGTTTCACACTATTACCCGATGAGGATCTTTGAATTCCCTAACTTTAACGATTAAAGTCATAATATCCAAATTCCTTGACATGAATTCTGTTTCAGACGGCAGATAATCGATAGTTTCTTTGGATACTTGGACAGTTTTTGGACAGAACATTGGCCACTAGTAAAGCTGGCCCTCGAAAATATCTATTATCATTTGCACAAGCACCTTTCAAGTAAACTGCAGCTGTTTCAAAGCTAACTAATCTTAATTAACAGAAACGCACCTAGAGTAATGTAACCCAATCTAATCATAATCTATCTATCAGTTGAATAGGAAGGATTAACGAATGTTATCTATTGTTAATAATGCTCGATTTGTAGAGTATAAAGCAAAGTCCAAAATGGTCGGCGCTTCAGCTTACATTTCGAACCGATCTCCAGCCTTTAAGTTAGCTTTGTGAACCTGGTTTGGCACATAAGCCCAGATCTGGTTCAAATCTTTGTCGCTTGTCATATATTTACAAAATTATACAAGTAATAATGATCCCATTGAAATTTTAATTGATGATTGCCCGTTCTACTGAAAATATTGGAAAACTTATATATTTTCATACAGAAATAGCGGGCTACATATGATCTCTACCCAAAATTGGCAATTACCCAAAATATGGTACATTAATCCAATGTTTGGGGCCCAAGCTATTTATGCCTTGGGT